TTAAGAAAGAAGGAATTAAAAAAATAAAATTAAAATAGATAGTTATTGACCTGGAAGAAAATAGAATGGACCCGTGTCATACCATTACGAGACTAAATTCCAGATCTGTAATTGTTTTCTGGAGAAACTCAAAAGCTATCAATAGAAAGACATACTTCATTAAATTAACCATAAAAAATTTTGCATGGAAGAGTATACTATGGACTACAACTTTTTTTTTTTTTTTTGGTTTTTCTCCGGTACAGGGAACCGAACTCACGACCTTGCGCTTGCCAGGCAGGCGCTTTTGCCGCTGAGCTAAATCCCCAGCCCCTAAAGAAGAGTATACTATGAACGGAGTCAGATGACAACTGTAACAAAAATAATTCTAATATATAAAATTGATACTTCTTACACAGGGCTAGCTCCCACAATTCATAGGAAAAACAGAAACCACAGAAAAACAGAAAAATGGGTCAATAAACAAATATAATAAGTGGAGAGGCAGTCCAAAAGGCCAACAAACACAATCTCACGAGCAGTCATGGAAATTGAAATTAAAGTAGAAATAAGATATCATTTCTTACTGATTAGAATGGAAAAAACTCAAAAGCCTAGTGAAAGACACTGTTATCAAAAACTTGAAAGACTGTTCACCTACTTTGTGGGAGAAAATGTGAATTGTTTTGAGAAAATCTTTGTGTGTGTGTGTGTGTGTTACTGGGGACTGAACCCAGGGGCCTTTGCATTAAGCTATATCCCCAAATCCCTTTAGTTTTTTTCTTTTTTTTAATTTTGAGGCAGGGTGCTGCTAAGTCACGAAGTTGCCCAAGCTGAGCTAGAACTTGCAATCCTGCCTTGGCCTCCCACGGTGCAGGGATAACATACATGCGTCACCATGTCCAGCTTCAACACAGCATTCTAGTTCCTGGTGATCTGGTGCATAGAAACTAAGCCCTGGTGTGGAAGGCTGTGGGTATAAAGATGTCTATTTACAGGAAGTCTGTGGCAGTGTCCAGAAGAGGGTTAACATTCCAGGCCCGAGATTGTTACCATAGAGAGGCTGGCTATAACATGGTCCTTGACTCTTGTCTGGGAACTCCCAGGCAAACAGTTCCCTACACTGATATAAAACTTCCCCTAGGTATTAAGAGTGGCTCAGTGTGCTTAAACTGATGCACAAACAATGTGGTTTGTGCTGCACACCAAAATTCCTTCTGAAATTTTGGTGCATGCTAGGCAGAGGTTTACATGACCAGCCCCCAGTAAAAACGTTGAGCACTATATGTCTCTAATGGGCTTCCCTGGTAGACAGCACTGGCTTGTGTTGTCGTAACTCATGGCTGAAGGAATTAAGCATGAACTGTGCAAATCCCCTGGGAGAGAACTCTTGGAAGCTTATTCCTGGTTTTCTCTGGATTTAGTGCCAAGTGCCTTTTCTCTTTGCAGATTTTGCTGTAATAAACTTTATTTATCAGTACAACTCTATATTAGGTTTTGTGAGACCTAGTGAACCAGGGAAATTGGGAATGTTCTGGAGACTACTGACCTGGGATGAGAAGAAATGCGGGCAGGGAAGGTAAATGTGGGGGGAAAAAAGAGTAAAAAAATACTGCAGAAAATTAGAAAAGTAGTAAGAAAACCATATGAACTAATGTTTCATTTTTATCCTTGTACCTATGTACAGAACAATAACAGGAGGATGCAGGGGCTGTGGCAATAGCTCAGTGGTACAGCGACTGCCTCACTTTTGGTGGTAGGATTTTATGTGCTTTTTTAAACCTTTTCTTTATAATTTTAAAAATTGTTTTCTAAGGCTGGAGACTGAAACATGTCAGGCAAGTGCTCTACCACTGAGGCACATCCACAACCCTAAATCTGATTTTACAATGAGCCTATGTGATTTACATAATCAGGAGAAAGATAAAGCTATTTTTATTTAAAAAAGGAAATAAATATCATTTGTTAGAGAATTCTTCTTTAAAACAGCAGCTCCTGATGCTGCCTCTACTAACTTCCCACTGAGTTCCTGTAAGGATATAGAAAAAGGGAAAACATCATATAGGAAGTCAGGTGACTGAGGACCTATTCCCAGAAGCTGGGAGAAATTTCCATGAATTCTATGGCATGTGGAGTTGGTCAGAAAAACATAACCAATAGGTTATATGGTGCCCTAGAAAGGTTCCTAGGGACACACACCCTTATCCCCCTATCCCACTTTCTATGGTTCAGAAATGTGAGATCTGTCACACAGAAAAGATAGAACCACTTTCCTTCTACTGCATGGTTGGTGGCTTATGAAGTGGTCATCTCTACTTTTTAAAGAATTTCTCTTTCTTAGAGATTTTAATTTCTCACCAAAAAGAAAGCAGAGGTAGAGACTAGTAATAGCATATTGTATTTCTAGAAGCAAAGTGTCATAGCAGCTACATATACCCGGGATTAAATCTTTGTACAGCTGAGCTGGGCTGTGGGCTGGGAGAGGAGTAGTGAGCCTATCTTTCGCTGGCAGAGATGAGACAGACTCAAGTCTTGCAGCATATTAACAATCGAAAACGAGGTGGGGAAACTGCCACTATATGTTTAAGAAGAGGATTCCACCAGTCACCAAGAAGGCAGAGACTGAGTTCAGGGTGGGGTGACTACACAGTTTATTATCCCCACTGGGACATGAGAGTGCTTGGGGTACTACTGGTAGCTACAATAGCAATAGGCATCAACCAGGACTGGCTTATGCCAATTCTGGAGTGAGAACACCCTGGTTCACTCAACTGACTAAGCCTGAATCAATTTCAGGTATAAGCAGAAAGAGATAAAATCAGATCTGAGGGGAAAAAAAAAACATTTAAAAGTAAGAATTGAAGAGAAAGGACTTAAAGAGAACAAACAGATCCACAAAAGTAATTTACTGTGGCAGACAGAAATCTAACTTGCAAATTTACAAGCACTCTTGGAGAAAGAAAAAGAAATGAACAAAATTTTTTAAAAAAGCAATTACTAGAAGGAAACCTGGGAATGAAACAAAATTGAGTATTCCGGTCCAAAAGTTATTCTGAGTCCTGGGAAAATAAATGGAAACGGGACCAAGACTTAGAAACATCTTGACAACTGGCAGGCGGGAGACAACTTTTCTTATTCACACATGACATATCATTTACCCAGGAAAACTAACAACAAACATGAATCAAGAAAGGTTTTACTCTGGATACAGATAAACCAACATAAGCCAATATTTTTTCTCTGCACCAACACTGCCACATAGATAATATAATAAATTCACACTAGCAACAAAAGTAGGAAAACATCTGGAATTCTTAAGGCCTCTTTCAGTCTTAAGGCCAATGAAGAGATGATCTATTTCATACGCTTAATGTGATAATTTAATATTGCAAAAATGTTAATCCTTTCAAGTGAATCTATAAATTCAATGAAGTCCTCACAAAGTTATTGTTGCATTTAATGAACTTATTACACATATTAAATTTTATGTTACAGAATAAACGTCTATGTATAGGTTAATCCATCTTAATAAAGAGAAGCAGAGAAGATGGATTTATCCTACTATATACTAAGACATACAATAAAAACAGTAGCATAGTACAAAGACAAATAGAAAAATGGAACAGAGCTAAGTACTCAGAGACAGGAAAAAATATACACAAACTTTACATAATGAAATGACACCAACAATTAATGGTAAATGAACAGGTTGTTTAGTAGTTGATACTGAGAAGATTGGGTAAGTGTATGTAGCAAAAGAAAAATCCAACTCCTATGTAAAACCACATGTATGGGTGGATTCTAAATGGATTAAAGACCTAATGTAGAAAGGATATTCACAGAATAAAACTTAAGATAATATCTTTGTGACATAGAAATAAGGAAATTCTTATTTAACAAAATTCAAAAGCAGAAATTATTATGCAAAATTGAAGAATTTGGTTATGTCAAAATTAAGGAATTTGTTCAATAAAACATATTATAGATAAAGTTCACTTGAATATATTTATAACAAAGGGAATAAAAGGTTGTCTGAATATTCAAGGAATTCCTACTAATCAACAAAAATAACAACTCCATTAGAAAAATGGACAGAAGATATGAATAGGCATTTCACAGGAAAATCCAAAGAGCAAGCAAGCATTTAATGAAATGTTTCAAATTCAATAGTAACTAAGGAAATGCAAAGTAAAATAATAATGAGATATCACTATATCCATTAGTCTCATAAACTTTAGGTAACAGGTAGTAGGTATTATACTGGTAGGGATGTGGTCATGTAGCTGGTGGTTGTGTAAACTGGTAGTAATTCTGAAGCAGAATGTGCTACTATTTATACCAATTAGGTACATGCTATGATATATATGCTATTAATTGGCAACTTTTTTTCTGGTAAATATCTGAAGGACATCCTCAAAGAGGTACGTGATTTTTTTCTAATACATATTTATAACTTTTTGCATTAAAATGATTCACACAGAAGCAATGAGAACGAGGGTGGGAAATAAAAAGAATGACTGCAAGAATGAAGTAAGAGGGGGGCTTGCACAGACAAACGAGTAGAAGTTAATGAGACATGGAGCCAGCAAGCCATAGCTGGCGTCCAGTGGCTGTGGTGGTGGTGGCTGCAGGGGTAATGATGGGTGAGGGAGGCAGTCATGAACATAGTGGCAACATTTTTGAAATATAAGACAAAAAATTTCTTTAAGCATTTAAGTTGAGAGGAAAAACAGAGCTATAAAAGACAAAAAGTAGACTGGCCCATACATTTCTTTAACTTCAAATACCAGAAGACAAAATGTCTCCAGAATTTCCAGGATAAGATAATTTTGAACTTGGGTAGTAAGGTAAGATTTCTATGTGTGAAGGCAACAAACATTCTAAGATATGCATAGACACACAGATTCTAAGATGTGCGTATACACACAGAATATGCCATCATGAAATTTTCTTATTAAAACACTAAGCAAAGTTTTAAACACAATAAAGGCTTTATCCTTATACATAACATATAAAATTACCTTTTGGAGGAAGAGGACAATCCTTACAAGCATCTGAGCACGGAGTTCTTCCAAGGTAAACAACGTACGGGGTGTTCGGATGAAAATTTTGGTCTTCCCATAAGCTACATCATCCTGAAAACCACATTGGTTTATCAGCTTCTTGACAGCTTCTTTGTCTGAAGGAAGGTCATGGTTGGGCCAGGTGAATTCAGAGATCATCTTATACCTAGAAGAAAAAGAACAGAGCAGAGATTAAGGGAGAAAAATGAGATGGTCATCTCAGCAGAGAAGCTATTCCATAAAGTTTAAGATGTGTGACAGAAGACAAAACAAAACACTTGTAAACTGTTAACAGAAGTGAATTTCATTAGCCTGATAAGGATGAAAGAAAACCTTCAATAAAATAAAATAAGACTCTTCTTAAACCAGGGATAAAAGGGACTTCCTTAATCTCATTAAAGTTACCAATATTTTACAGCAAGCACTATTTGTAAACGGGTGACCTTGGAAGCACTCTCTTCACAAACAGACACATGGATGTTTCTGTCATGGGCTCTGTTCTACACTGTTCTGGAATACAGAATTGGCACGCTGAGACCAAGAAATTGATTGATGAGGAAGGGACAAAACTGATACTACTTATGAACAACTTGCCTCTCTTCAAAGGCAATCAAGCAGATCTTTACATAACCTTTAAATGAAAGAAAGTTAATCAGTGCTATGTATGTAAGATATAAGATCAATACACAAAAATTAATTGCATTTCTACATACAAGCAGGCAACAGCTCCCTGCCACGGGTCTCATAAGGCAGCTCTCCACATGGCAGCTTGCTTCCTTAGTGTGGCTGAGCAAAATGGAAGTCAGAGTCCCAAGCTTTTTGTAGCCCATATTCAGTAGTGACACCCTACTGCTTTTATCTTATTTTACTTTATTAGAAGCAATCAGAAGGTTCAGCCTACACTCGGAGTGTATAGCGCATGAATTCCAGGAGACAGAGTACCAGGCCATCTTAGAATCCTGCTTGCCACAGTGATTTTCCTCCTCATACAAAGTCGTTTAATACATGCAGTAAAATCAAATAATATTTTTCTTATAATGAATCTGAATTTTAAGTCACTGACAGAAAGGTTTTCTTTACACTCACAGATTCATTTACTGATATTTTCTTCTAGTACTAGCATGTTTTCTTTTTATGTTTAAATCTTGGATCCATGTGAATATGGTGTAAGGTATGGATCTAATAATATTTTTTGATAATTATCCAGTGATTCCAACACCATAAAAAGCCCATACTTCACCCTGTGATTTAACAGGTCATCTATATCATATGCTAAATGTTTTTTTCTGGTTTTTTTTTTTTTTTGCTTTTTTTCTGGTACCGGGAATTGAACTCACGACCTTGCGCCTGCCAGGCAAGCGCTGTGCCACTGAGCTAAATCCCCAGGCCCCATATGCTAAATTTTCATACATGCTTCAGTTAATTTCTGAACATTCTAGTATGTTGCATTGCTGTGTCTCTATCTGTGCATTGGTACCTCACGGTTTTAACTATATGGGCTAGAGGAACATTTTAATATCTCTCTTTTTTTTTTTTTTTTTTTTTTGTCTTTTTAAAAGGTCTTTCTAGCTATTCTAAAAGCTTATTTTTTGTATGGACTTTAGAATGAGGATTTATAGTTTTAGGAAAAAAACAGAATCCAGCCAACAAACAAAGTAAAAACAAACAAACCCTCAAAAAACCTCCAAAATCCCCTTGATACTAGTTTTCTTGAGATCACGCATTAAATTTATATATGCTACCAAGAGCAAGGGATGTTTTCTCACTTGAGTCTAGTTTTGTGCATTTCAGGCATCTTTAAAAATTTCTTCATTGGGTTTTTCATGTTCCTTGTTAAGATATCTAAGCAGCATAGGGTATGGTTAATTTGCTCTGCTGATATCTCTGTTGATCTTTCTCTTCTTAGCTTCCTGGATATTCTTTCTTTGGCTCATTTTCTGGCAAGTCTGGCTACTACTGTATCCCTACGTGAGGAAGTGTCCTAGGACTCAGCACAGGACTTCTATGTACACCCTCCCCACATCACCGCATCTAGCCCACTGACTTTAAATAATTTATTTTAAATCTAAAATGTAAAACATAAATATATTCATACTGTAAAATACAGCAAATAGCTTTCAGTTCATAATATACCATCCCCAGCCTCAACCTCAGTTCTGAGCTTCAGACCGACAGATCAGACGCCCACACAGGTCTTGAAGGCACCTTCAACTTCTCTTTCAGTCTTCCCCACCTCAGTCTACCCAGTTACTACCGCTGGGATCCTTGGAATATTTTAATCCTTTCTATCATCCCTTTTCTACCATTATTTCTAATCCATCATGTCCTGCTGATTTTACTTCCAAAATATATTTAAAATCCAACAACTGTGCTCATCTTTCTTGCTGCATTCTTGTTTTTTTTTGTTCTTTTTAAAATTTCCTATAGAATCCATTCTGTTGTTTTCTAAAAGCTTTAAATCATCTTTGTCTTTTGTGACTCTTCACCTTCCTCATCATCCTGCAATAACCTCAACTTGTTAGGGTTCGGTAATGTGGCAGCTCCTTTTGCTTAGTCCTTGCACACTTTTCCCACTGCCTGGAATGCATCATATTTAGTTCTCAAAAGGCTGGGTCCTTCTCCTACGTTAGTCTTCCCTTGATCTTCCTACATCAATACTCCCCACTCCATTACCCTATCTAAAACAGTTGTGTGTTATGTTTTCTCTTGTACCACTCATGATAATTTGTAATCATATGGATTTGTGGGCTTATCTGTTTAATGTCAGTCTCTCTCACCAGTCCGTGGGTACCACAAAAGCAGAGACTTTATATATCTGCCTATCACCTTGCCTGAAACGGTAGGAGGCAACAGATATTCGTAGGATAAACAGAGGAATGCATTTAAAAGCCTACTCACTTTGCAAGGAAGGGACAAAACTCAAGGCAATGAAAGAGTTTAGTAAGAAGACAGACACATAATCTCACATAAAAAAGGAAGCAAAATCAGAAACCTCTTAAATCTGTTATAAAACTAGAATAAGGGCCCACCTTTGGGCTCTAGGTGGGTACGATGGCGTGTGTCATCAGGCACACTGCGGTAGCTGGAAGCACTGAGGCTGCCACCCTGTTCAGCCCACAGGCGCTCTGCTTTCCTTCCTACCGGCATAGGCCATGACCCCCATTCACTAGCAAACCAGCATCCTAAACTTGCTAATGAAAAAGCTGCACTCACCCACTTTCTGACAATTTGCTTGACCCCTCTGATCGACTTCAGCAACTTTTAAGGTTATCAGTATGCTAAAATCCTCCTCTTGTGTTTTTCAATAACAGAAATGAAAATAAGGCAAAGTGACAAGTGAAAATTTAGATTCAAACCTGCAATGCATGCAAAAAAACCTGTGGAATCTAAAATCAAAATTTCACTTAGAAAATACTACTTTTTTTCTCTCTCATCATCTCTAGAAACATTGGTCCAATACACCACACACCTATCTCACCGCACAGTCCACTGGCAATAGGTTCAGTCAGTATGACAATATAATGAAGTGGTAATTTCTCAATCGTGGCAAACTCATTTTCTATGAAGTGGAAGGTAAACCCTGTATCCAGAGTAAGAACAGGCTAATTTTCCCAGCTGCACACCCCATCATCTACGTAGCACTTTCCTATATGACCCCAGAGAATCACTCACCTTGACTTAAATAACTGTCGACTGGGTTGACCTCTGTCCAAAAGCATATTTTTTGGGAGAGTGCGTTTAACACATCTGTTGTAACTATAGCTATATATAAATTTTTTGTTAAGTATTCTATTAGGTGCTTTTTTGTTGCTTGGTTTGCTCTTGGACAGACTAAGCTTTCTTTATTTTCCCCTCTGATTTGAGAGCCATATGTTCAATTGTGAACCAATGTTTTTCCCTCCCAGTACTGGGGATTGAACCCGGGGTCTCCTGGGCAAGCCCTCTAGCATTGAGCTACAATCCCTAGCCCCTGATACACTGTTCAAGATTGTAGGCTCCAGAGTCAACTGTCTGAGTTCAGATCTGGGGCTATGTAACCTAAGGCAAGTTACTTATCCTTTCTGTGTCTTAGTTTCCTCATTCACACATGATGTGTGATAAAAAATACAGTGAATGTTTAAATTAAAAATTACAGTAAAAGATACGTTACCATTAATGCCCCTCAAAACATTCCTCTTTGCTTTGAACACATTTATCCATCATTCTTATCATTTTGTGAAGTGGTTCCAGAAGTGTTTTTTTGCGTGTCTTTAGTTACAATGTCTTTAGATTCAATGTCCTGAATTGATTAAAAATGTTTACATCTCACTGTCATTTTAACTTGGGGAAAGAGTAAGAAGGCACATAGTGCTAGAATCAGAGAATAAGTTGGACAAAGACACACTGTTGTTTTTATGAGCCGGCCCTTCCTCTGGATGGCACCTGGCACAGCTTTCACCTTATTTTTTATCACACCTTGAAAAGATACTCACAAAAGAGGACTTCCAGAACTGCTCCAGAAAGCGGCAAGAACAAGGGGCTAAGTGTGTTTGAAGCCAGGAGGAGTGTGGGGTGGGAGTGTATGTGGGGGCTGTTAATGGCAATATGTCCTCTGTAATAAAATTTTTAGAAATTTTTCATCATTTGTTTTGTAAAATGAAGATAACATATTCTCCTCATGTAGCTGTCAGTTTTGGTAACTTACGACATGCAGAATGCTTAAAATGGTGCCTGCTATATATTCAAAAACTTAGTGGCTATTATTATAATTCTCTTGAAAATTTCAAAACACATAAATTATTTTTTCCTGTTTAATCATTACATATGTCTTTTCTATAAACAGAACATAAGTTTTTACTTATTTCTATTTCTTATCCTCATTTAGCTTTATTTCTGGATTATTACTAGTCTCTTTCCTTCCTTATAGTCAATACGTTTTTAGATTTAACAGAAATTTTTGCTGATTTATATTTCAGGTATTATTTTGGCATCCCACGTTTTCCTTCTTTGTTCATCTTTCTTCTGCTAAAGTACATCTTCTGGAAGATTTTTTTTGGACAGTTTCTATGAATATTAAATTTCCTGAATGTGTCATAAAATGCTTTTTTAATTTTACACCATGAATGGCATTTTGGCATGCAATATAATTTTAAATATAAACTTCATTTTCTCCAATAGGAAGACACCACTACTTTGTCTACTTGATCATATATTAATGAGAGTTATGTCTTTCTTTGAGCGCAGGCAAATTCTTGGCCACTGTTTGAACAATGCTTTTCCTCTACTGTCAGGCTTTCCTTCTGGTAATCCTGTTCAGTGGGCTTTGCCTCCCCTGTAGCTGTCCTGGCCACTACGGCAACCTCCTGATGCTGCAGACTATGATAAACCAGCTGGCTGGCTCTTTAGGTTGCGGATCAATTCTCATAGCCATCTTCACTTATATCTGTGATGCTGGGTTGCACTTGAGTCTTCCCAGCTGCTTCGTATGGTATTTAAGAGTAACTCACAAGCCAGGGGTTTAGCTCAGCGGTGCAGCACCTGCCTGACAAGCATGAGGTCTTGAGTTCCATTCCCAGTATCACCTGCTCCCCACAAAAGAGTAAACTCACACCTCTAAAGTTCATTGAGAATTCCTCTTCCTGATTCCATAGCTTGGCTGTGCATTCACTTAGTTTTAAATACACATATTTTGAATTATTTGGGGATGCTGTAGAGTGGGAATGGGCCAGTTAAACTTATACTACAAAGACCACTAGGTATGAAATTCGTAGGTTCTTCTTCATGTTTCTACTCTATTTTTACATGAGTATTAAAATATTTTTCTAATCTTACTCATAGCATACTATTTATGTTCAAAACAAACACACTAACAACTTTCAAGTTCAAAGTAGAGTAGTCCAAAAGGGATTAAAAGTAGGTAAAGATACAACCTGCAAATTCCTTGTCCCCTCTAAAGCAAGCTTGCTCACTGTTCACTTGTTTCAACTGCTTGCATGCCTTCTTCTGTATCTCATGAAAATACATTTTCAGTTCAGCCCCATCCTGTATTTACTTTCTACAGTGTTCATTCTGATATTCAACTTTGGCTTATTTTCTATAAGCAACAGCACAAAAACAAATTCTATGCTGATCGCTTGCCAGAATTTTCCAAGCACAAATGATAGACTAGTAACCTTCCTAATAATATAACCTGACACTGTTTGCAATTAAGACGTAGATGAACATACCTTTACGCATGAAAACATTTCTACTATATAGTCTCAATATAGAGAGTTAAGCAACTGTATGGCTTCATCAGGAAACATGGTCAGTTTTGAACATAACCTTTAGAGTAATATAAAGTTAAATTTCAGTTTTCCAGGATATTATGCTATGCAGTTGTATTCATTCCATTTAAGAATACCCCCTTGGCCTAAATTCTTACTTCTGCACATGGGCTGCTCAGTATTAGGGGAGAAACCCAACCATACCAGCTGGCCTCATCTTATGTTTATAAACTCACATCTCAAATGGACACTGTTCTCCCTGACCACAATCCTTTTAAACAAACCTGTGCTTTCCCACTCACTAAAGTGAGTCTTCTCATTTCCCCACAAGCCTTCTAAGCCACCTCTCCTACCACTCACTCTCAGCTCATGAGAGTGAGCCTCAGCCTTCACTAAGAACACAGAAGAAGAAGAAGAAGAAAAAAAACAACATAGAAGGGATCACAAAGGAACATTTTCATCTTTGTCTTCAGTGAAGCTTCCGGCCTTCCTGATCTGTATTCGTGTTCTCTGCCTAGTGTCCTGTTGCTATGGGTAATGTCCCTGCTCCTGTGTGTGTGTGATTCCATCCCTTCTTGCCGTCTCCAGGATGTTATTACTGTAATTACTGTATCTCCCTTCTCTCCTGGGTCATGGGTTTCCTCTCTCGTTGGTGAATCATCCTCACCTGCATACATTTTCTAGTATCTCTTGATTTCACATCCTTGTCCAATCACCATTTCCAGTTTTTCTGCCCCCATGCACAGCAAAATTTCTTGAGTTGTTACAGGGCCCTGCCTTCTCATTTCTCCTTCCCATCCTGTTCAAATCAGGCTCTGCTGCTTTACCTTTTGACCTCTACGTTGCCAAATCTAGTGCTTGACCTTCTGCTTTTCTTAGCTGCACAGCAACACTTGACTCATTGACAGCATGTTTCCTCTCAATACGCCATCTTCTCTTGGCTTCCTTGACAGAATCCTCTTTTGGTTTCCTTCTCCAGCACCAGTTGCCCTCTCTTCTCTCTGCTCGTTTCCTTTGGTCAGACCACAAACCCTAAATAGTGTCACGGGCCTCCTCCTTTTCATCCAGTCCTAAATGTTATCTACATACCAATGACTCTTATCTGCAGCCTGACTTCTTTCTAGAACTCCAGAATATATATCAACAGCTCACCTAGTATTTCCACTCTGATGTTTAGTAAGCCTCTCAAAGTTAACATAGGCGAGAGAGCAACCTGATTCTCCCCTTGCTCCCGTTCCTCTTCAAACTTCTCCTAACGTCCTTTTGTGTCAGCAAAGGGTACCTGCTGACCCAGATGCAAAGCCCAAGTCTGCTGGTCATCTTTCATTCCTCCTCCCTTCTCTCACCACAGCCGACCCACCTATGAGCAACTTTGCTCCCATGTGTCCTGACTCTGTCCACTACTCTTATGGTTACAATAATCCCCTGCTGAAGACATTATTTTAAAGCTATCTTTCCTGGGTCCTAGTAAGAGCACCCCTAAACGCTTCCCTGTTTTCAGTTCACACACTAGGCACAATGATTCCTTCAAGATACTCTGGAAGACTGCCACTCCACGGTCAAAATCTACCAATGACTTTTTAATCATCTTTAGCCAAAACCTGACTGGTTCAGGCTGATTATAAAGTTCACCATGATGTGGTCCCCACCCACACCTCTGCTCTCTTCTTACCCCACACCTCCTCACTCAGCGCCCTCCAACCACAGGGACTACATCAGGTTCCGAAAGTGCCTCACTTGTCACTCAGTGCAGCCTTTTCCGGGACTGCTTCCTTTGTTCCATCTTTTTTTTGAGACAGGGACTAGCTATACAGTTCAGGCTGGCCTTGAAGTCACCATATAGCATATGCTGGCCTTGAACTCACAGCAATCCCCCTGCCTCAGCCTCCTGTGTGCCACCATGCCCAGCTTTGTTCCACCTTCTGACTTCACTGATCTTTGTATGCCTGGCTCCTCGCTGTAACTGCTATCTCCTCAGAGACTTTTCTGACCAACCATCTAAAGTATCAGAATTTTTTGCACTTTTCTCATCTTCATTTTATGTGTTTATTCACTGTATTTGATAGATTCTGTGGTCCAGAATGTAGAAATTGTTCCATAAATATTTTAAAATAAACAGAATTTAACTTCTATAATTTGGAGAGGAAGAAAGGTTGAAGGGAGGGGAGAGATATGGGGGAAAAAAGAAGAATTAAGAAATATTATGTACAGGTACAAATTCCCTATGATAAATGTGAACACTATGTATGGCAACTATGTACTAATAAAAATTTTTTTAAAAACAATTTAAAACCTTCTAATTCCCAGTTGCCAACTATCATTGCCATTATCAACTTAACAATAGCAATAAATATTTTCCACTTACTGAGTGACTATCATATGCCAGGTATTCATAAATATTATCTCACTTAATCTTCTAGACCCTTCCAGGTAATTACTACTCTATGCTCATTTCACACAAAAGGCAACCAAGGCATAGAAAGGTTATGTGACTTGACCAAGGTCACAATACTAGGAAATGCCAAGCCAGGAGTCAAACCAGAAGCACTCACCTCAGAGCCTCCATGCTTAACTTCATAATATTCTATTTTTATGATAATTACTAATGCCAGTAAAGATAAGTGGCATTAATCAAGTATTGTATCTGTTCTGTGCCAGGAATCTAGGCTTTTTATTTAGGTTAATTTAATCACCACAGCAACAGGCCTATGAAGTATTATTATGCTCATTTTATAGACGCAGAAACAGAATCTAAGAAACTGAACTTCTGGACTAACATTACTGAGCAAATAAGTGGCACAGCTGAGCTTCCAACCTGGATGTGACTCCAAATCCAAGTTCGATTGTGCTGTAATGCCCACATTCTCCCCACACGGTTAAACAACCACTAGGGACTCCTGCGATTCTTAGAAAGTACCACATATTTGCAATTTCTTCAACTCTTCTGTTCACTCAGCAAATATTCACAGATGTCCTAATAGGTGCTGATGCACCGTCATACACGGGCAGGACCCTTAACTCTCCATGTGCCCTTAGGCATCTTTGCTTAGTCTACTCTCACCTGTGAAGAAACTTCTCATAGGTCTGGCGGAAGGCAAACCCTGCCCGACGGACTCTCACATTTTCCAGGAGCCCAAGGTATTCTACTTGATGCCGACAGCGTTCTTCATCAAATATCTGTGGGGACTTTTTGTCATTGGGTTTGATGCAACGTACATAATATGGTTCCTAAAGAAACAAATCAGTAAATGATAAGTTTCACTGGAGAAAATTCCCTAACTAGGGACACTAACATGCAATTAGTGTTAATTGTACCAAATGAAGCTCAGTGCCTCTGATTTCTCAGGCATACACTTGTGAATAAATAGTTATTCTCCTTTTCTCTCTGAATTCAAGGTCAGAAGTTCCCATATAATCAGCTATGTTTTTATTTTACTACGATTTAAAATTCATCAGAAATAGCAAAAGGGATAAAACTAGGAAGTAAAGAACTGAGACATGTGAACACCAAGTTTCTGTGCATTTAAGGAAACATGATTCAAGTCATCAAAGGAATAATTCAAAAGAAAAAGCAGCAACCATGGTAAATAAAAATCAAATACGATGAACAGTGCAAAATATTAAGGTCAGCTCTGGTGCATATGAATTGCTCCCTAAGTGTCAGAAATTATTATTATTGCCATCATCATCATTGTCATCATCACTGCATTAATTTATACTTTAGGAAAAGAGATTATAAACTTTATGGCAAGTCAAGAAGTTATAAAAACCACCTGTAGGCGTCAGTGATTCTATGAAAAAGCCCAGATAGAAATTCTTTCCTCTGTGCCAATTAAGTTTTGTACCATGCATTAGATCATAAATCATGTTAAATATAAAACCATGTTTGGCATAGATCCTGGTACACTGAGGATAATGAATAAATTATCACTGGATGAATCCATGAGGTCAAATATATCCTACTTATTAGTATATACAGTTTCTCTCTCCTCTCTGAATCTGTTATGCATCAGACACACAGATGCACTCTAATTAAGATACAGAGTCCTGGGTAGTTAAATTAGACAGTTTGGAGCTCCACTGAGGGCTTGAGGTGGCAAAGGGTAACAAATAATTTAAGAAGTAGGAGAGATTTCAAGAATGGGAATTGATTTACATTTTGAACAGAATAACAGTTTTCCACATCTAAAAAAGAAGGTGCAACTGTACATGCATCATGTTCCTTACACAGTAAAAAGGAATGTCATTCTTTTTATGTAAGCCCAACTGTATTAGCTTCCTATTGCTGCCATGCAGATGATCACACATTTAGCAATTTAAAACAACACAATTTCATTGTCTTACAGGTCTGGAGGAAAGAAGTCTGAATTAGGTCTCAATGGGCTAAAATGAAGGTGTCAGTAAAGTTGTAACTTTCAGAAGGATCTAAAGGACAACCTGTTTTCTTATCTTTCCCATGGGGCTGTGCACACTCTTGGGCTTGGAACTCCCTTTGATATCTTTAAAGCCAGCAATGTCCAGTTGAGTCTCTCTCATGATTCCATCTGTCTGGTTCTGATTCTTCTGCCTCCTTGCTCCTCACTGACGGACTCTTGTGATTATCCTGGACCCACCTGGATAACCCAGGATAATCCCTTATTTTAAGGTCTGCTGATTAGCAGCCTTAGTTCCATCTGTAACCTTAATTCCACTGTACGGTGTAATAGGGTTAGAGGTTCTGAGGGTTAGGATATGGACATCCTGGGAGGGCTTTGGTATAATAAACAATAAAGTATATAAGGTATAATACTAATAAAATATATGGTGCCTGAGTTCAACCACATGGTCAATGATTTAAACAATCATGCCTGTGTAATGAAACCCTAATAAAAACACAGTACATTGAGGTTTGGAGGGGCTGCCTGGTCAGTGAGCAATGAATATATAGGTAGGGTATGCAGCCTGACTCCATGGGGACAGAAGCCACAAGCCACAGTAAGACACTGCTTCCGAATCTTGCCAGCCTATGTATCACTCCACCTGGCATTTTACTTGCATCTTTTAGAAAAAAGCTGTTATCATAACTGTAGCATTTTTGTCAGTTGTGTGAATCATTCTAGCAAATTATCATACCTGAAGGGGAGTCATGCCAACCCTCAAATTTGTGCCCACACATAGGCATCTGAAGTCGAGGACAGTCTTTTTGGGGACTGTGTGCTTTAACTTGCTCGAGCTGACATTAACTCTGGGTAGTATCAGAGGGAGCTGAATTGTTGGACACCTTGCTAGTCTTGCAATGCAGAAGCCATCCTTTTGCCTCTCACACCTGCCCTTTTAAAAAAATCTTAGCTGTGTGGGAGAATGAAAAGGATGATCATGCCATTTACTGCGTAGGAGGCGGAGGTTCCACCCCACTCTTGAACCTTAGCTGGCCTTGAGACTTGTTTTACCAAGACAGTATGGCAGAAGTGACACTTCTGGAGACCTACTCTTGACAGTCTGATTTTCCCTCTTATAAATTACTTCTTTGAGTATGTAAAGAAGGCTAGGACTAAACATTACATGAAGAAGGAGGCCCGGTCATCCAGCCATGCCATTTGGGTGAGATCTTTGACCATCCAGCCCCAGCTGACTGACCTGTTGGTGAGTCCAGCAAAACAAATGCCCAAGAAACTCACTGGGCAATAAGGAATAATAAACTGCTGTTGCCTCAAGTACTCCATTTAAATGTTTTACATCAACAAAGAAAGAACAACCCTTCCCTATTGTGGAACACCAATCCTTGGCTTAGACTTCCATTTTACATACATTTAAGTGGAGGATCAATATTATTATAATGCCAGGGATCGAGGTTGTGTGCTCCTTATGAAAAGCTAATGCCTGGGCTGGGGATTTAGCTCAGCGGCAAAAGCGCCTGCCTGGCAAGCGCAAGGTCGTGAGTTCGGTTCCCGGTACCGGAGAAAAACCAAAAA